TATAATCCTAGACTCTGATTAAAAGCCTTAGGTAACCTAATTGTAGGCCTACAGGTTTTACAGTAAGCCTACTAACTTCTTAGAAATGTTTTTAATAGGCCTATTTTTTATTTGCTCCCAGTCCGTTTCACACAGTCGCAGCCATTAAACTTTCGTTTTTCTTGTGTGAGGCTGAATATTATGAGCAGTTTGGTGGGGATATTAAAATTCACTTTAATAACAACGTGGGGGATTTATTTTAGGTTAGTAGCTTTCTTAAAGTCTATCACAGAGACTGAGTATGTAGCGCCCCACCTTTTGCGATGTGGGAACAGGTGAGGTGAGTTTTCAGTAGCCTAAATGTTGAGATTCGGTCTTACTAGCCTATTTGAGCACATTTTATGACATGAGTGGATTTTTCGTTTCATTGCTTTGTGAAGTTAATTTAGAACAATGTTTGGATCACTTTTGAGTGTGTTAAATAAATTAATCTAATTTTTTGAAGTGAGGAGAAGTTCTTTAAAGTGAGGAGGAACGACCACTTATTCGGTGTCCAGCCTTTTAATGTGGAAACGCCGAGCTGAAAGAAAAAGGCTGATGTATTTTCACACAGCTCATAAGAACACATAAAATCAACTCACTATTATAGACTTTGCCTGTTCATAGACTTTCACACTATCGGCGAATTTCTGTCTCCCTGCATGTGTCAGCTGCAGATGTGTTACTCAGACTAGGCCTATGTCCTATTTCTGTAGTGTTACAGTTTGCTCTTTGTCTGTAAAATATGACGCTCTGATGCCAGTGGACTTGTTCATGTCTGCGATTGGTCATCTGCCGCTAACACCTCTTTTAAGTGAACGCGCTCACGGCTGAATTGGGAAACCCTGGGTTCAGTTACCGAGTTGATAACCAGCGTCGTGGTACCACTTATCCCGACCGCGATTCTTAAGCCAGATAAGGAAAACATATCCTGGGTAGGCTATGCTGAACTGTCTTCGTGGTACAGTCCCCAGGAGATCTCCACTGTGTATCATTTTTAATAAACTGTAGGCTATATTATACTATATTACAAAATTGGACCTCAGTTATTTCTGCTTTTTGATTTCAGTTATTTCTGCTGGGGCAGTGGTAATTTAAGACAGCATAGGCCTATCTCATAATCTTTGATGTTAAAACAATGTTCAGATAATTTTATGGATTTAAAATTCTGTATGTTGTTTATTAGGCTCATTATGTCACCAATGTCATTAATCCAGGGTTACATTTTGTATTTATTCACATGGAAAAGTGTTTTTTTGTTTGTTTGTTTATTATACAAACCTTTTAAAAGACACTTTGAAACGTTTTCACAAGTCAAAACTTTTAATTTTAAGTAGATACAGCTTGGAGAAGATGAAGAAAAAGGTTGCACATGTTTTTATACTTTAGTGGTGTAAGTACTCTCACTTAGTCCTTATCTCAGTATTTTACTGATTTAATTACTAATGTACTTGTATGCACATGTAATGTACTCTCCCGACAAGTCCAAGCATCAGTGACAGTAGCTTTTTGTGAGTTTCATATTGCTGTGCTGCTTCAGCTGATGCTTCAGGCCTAAATCAGATGTAGAAATGTTCACGGTTAAAAGCTTGTTGCTGGTCGCACAGAGTTTACAATAGAGGACAATGTTCTTTGCATCTTAGATTGTGACAAAATAATGGAAGTAGCTATTTATGGCTGTGGAAATAAGGCCTCTCTCCCTTGTTCTCCATTCTTCCCTTAGTTTTTGGCTAACAGGTGCCACTGAGCTGCTGCACAGTGGCGCACGTCAATGATGGTCCGTTCAGTAGTACCAGTGGCTCGGTTCTGTTCCTCTGAAGGAGTTGAGGGCTTTGCTCTCCACTTCTTCCATGTAGATGAAGGCACGAAACGTCTTCTATTATCTTCAATCATCCCTTGACTTTGACGTTCACAGACATGTTACATTAGTAACTGTAATAATATTACTGTTTTAGAAAAGTAATCCGTTTCAGTACTAGTTACTGTAAAAAGTAATAATATTACAGTAACTGCACAACACTGATGACAGCAAAGGCAGACAACTTCAGACTAAAACAGGAAACACTGGCTGAATAGACATAGCAATCAGACAAAAATGTAATTTGACACAAATACTGAACCGACCACACAAAATACAGAAGCAAATGACAAGACAAGACAGACTGACAAGCAGACAAAAACAAGAACAAACTACAATGGACCAGTGTCGAAAAATGCTACCGTAGCACAAATGGATTGAGTCTATCGAGTCGCTCTGCCCTATCAAAAAATATTACCTCATGTGTTCCCTTTTCCAATCCCATAAAGTTATAACTCTCATAGTATTATGACATCTTCTGTTTTTTTTATTACATTGTAGCATCATTTCAGGGGTAGCTTATTCTGACTAATATCCCCTATCAAATAATGCTCCCACTACAGAATCATTTCATACTCACTCCATGTGTAGCCTACTGTAAGGAGATGAGGAGCATGTTGAAATACTATATTATAACATCAACTTTAATTAAGATTCTGATAGACTAATAACGATTTTTTTATTCATGTTGCTGACGATCAGCCACTCTCTCGACGGCATGCCCAACAGCAAGGTTGCACAGAATTATGGGCGTGGAAACAGACCACGCTTGTGGGTCATATGCATGCGCAGAACTGCTAAGTAGCACAGAATAAAACAGAACACAGAATACATGTAAAATCTATATTGGAAAGTGACTAGTAAAGAGGTCTAAGAACTAAAGCACAGAACTAAAACGTAGAAGTAGGACTACCCACCAAGACACTGAACTAAGACACCGAGACAGGGAATGAGACAGTACTGGTAAAAGCAAATTAAGCTGAACATGCCATGAAAACAAAAAACAAGCCTAAACAGTGGAATCACAAAACATGGACCAAAAAACCCCCACATAAAACTGCAAACCATGACACTTGGGTTCAACAGTTTGTATCTAAATGTATCAATGTCTACATTTATATATACAGTGGGTACGGAAAGTATTCAGACCCCTTTAAAATTTTCACTCTTGGTTTCATTGCAGCCATTTTCCAAAAATCAAAAAAGTTCATTTTATTTCTCAGTAATGTACACTCAGCACCCCATCTTGACAGAAAAAAACAGAAATTTAGAAATTTTTGCAAATTTATTAAAAAAGAAAAACTGAAATATCACATGGTCATAAGTATTCAGACCCTTTGCTCTGACACTCATATTTAACTCACATGCTGTACATTTCTTCTGATCCTCCTTGAGATGGTTCTACTCCTTCATTGGAGTCCTGCTGTGTGTAATTAAACTGACTGTCTATATAAGACCTTACAGCTCACAGTGCATGTCAGAGCAAATGAGAATCATGAGGTTGAAGGAACTGCCTGAAGAGCTCAGAGACAGAATTGTGGCAAGGCACAGATCTGGCCAAGGTTACAAAACAATTTCTGCAGCACTCAAGGTTCCTAAGAGCACAGTGGCCTCCATAATCCTTAAATGGAAGAAGTTTGGGACGACCACAACTCTTTCTAGACCTGGCCGTCCAGCCAAACTGAGCAATCGTGGGAGAAGAGCCTTGGTGAGAGAGGTAAAGAAGAACCCAAAGATCACTGTGGCTGAGCTCCAGAGATGCAGTCGGGAGATGGAAGAAAGTTCCACAAAGTCAACCATCACTGCAGCAATCCACCAGTCGGGGCTTTATGGCAGAGTGGCCTGACGGAAGCCTCTCTCAGTGCAAGACACATGAAAGCCTGCATAGAGTTTGCCAAAAAACACCTGAAGGACTCCCAGACTATGAGAATTAAGATTCTCTGGTCTGATGAGACCAAGATTGAACTTTTTGGTGTTAATTCTAAGCGTTATGTGTGGAGAAAACCGGGCACTGCTCATCACCTGTCCAATACAATCCCAACAGTGAAACATGGTGGTGGCAGCATCATGCTATGGGGGTGATTTTCAGCTGCAGGGACAGGACGACTGGTTGCAATTGAAGAAAACCTCATCCAGAGCCGAAGGTTCACCTTCCAACAAGACAATGACCCTAAGCACACAGCTAAAATAACAAAGGAGTGGCTTCGGAACAACTCTGTGACCATTTTTGACTGGCCCAGCCAGAGCCCTGACTTAAACCCAATTGAGCATCTCTGGAGAGACCTGAAAATGGCTGTTCACCAACGTTTACCATCCAACCTGACAGAACTGGAGAGGATCTGCAAAGAAGAATGGCAGAGGATCCCCAAATCCAGGTGTGAAAAACTTGTTGCATCATTCCCAAGAAGACTCATGCCTGTACTAGCTCAAAAGGGTGCTTCTACTAAATACTGAGCAAAGGGTCTGAATACTTATGACCATGTGATATTTCAGTTTTTCTTTTTTAATAAATTTGCAAAAATTTCTACATTTCTGTTTTTTTTTCTGTCAAGATGGGGTGCTGAGTGTACATTACTGAGAAATAAAATGAACTTTTTGGATTTTTGGAAAATGGCTGCAATGAAACAAAGAGTGAAAAATTTAAAGGGGTCTGAATACTTTCCGTACCCACTGTATAGTATATATTTATATAGGTCGACAATGATAAATGTTTTTGTACACTGGCGCTTATTTTTGTGGATAGAGGCAGTGTTATATAAATCACAAAATACATTTGTGAATCCTGTAATTCATTAACATTGAGAGCCAAGAAAAAGCATAGAACACATAAGATTCCTTTCATGTTTCTACAGTTTCAACAAAGTTGTATTGTTTTGCAACTTAGTCAAAACAAGGAGTCACGTCAGATCTGGAGCAGCAAAAATCAGACAACAGCGTCGGAGCACTGAGACAGAAAGAAGAGAGAGTGAACTGGAATTCAGAATTTTATACTGTAGAGAATTTTTATCTTAAATTTTAATTGAGAGTTTTTCACTAAGTAAAGACATGTTTTTAATTTTCATGAAAACAACCAGATACTTTGTTTATTTTTAAAGTTTTGTTTTACTTTACTTTTAATTTTTAGGAGTTCAGGATGCTGCATCCAAAGAAGTCCAATGATGGAGTGTCTTTCAGGACCTGCAGTGTTTTTCTTTTCATCATTCTTCCTTCTGTTGGAGGTAACTTCAATGCAAAACACTGCAGTAACACACTGATGTGTTGGAAACCAGAAGACTCAACTTCTGACAAAAAAAAGGAATCCATGTCTGTAACAATGACTTGGTCAGAGGAGGCGATAAATATCAATGACACTGTAACTAGTCACATCAAAACTAATGCATTAATTATTAGCAATAAAACAAATGTACTGTATTGTGAAATTCAACGATCATTACATCAGTCTGCAGCCACACTGTTAGCTCTGTGAGGCTACAAATCCTGAAGGTTGAGCTTAATGCCAATGCCAATATGCTAACGATGCAAGCGGGAGTGAAGAGCAGACCGGTGTCTGTTGGCAAGAAAGTGCGCGGGAGCCAGTGGAGTCAAGACTCTGGGTAGGGGAGCGTTCCCTTAGTCGGCGGACATGTGGAAACCCCCATAGACCTTCAGATGGAAAGGTGTGCGTGGGCGTTTCTGATATCATTTTGATCGTTGTGAATGTAAGTGAGGTATGTGGCCAAGGATTTTGATTATGTTGTCTGGGATTCCCTGCCTGGACGTGGTGGAGGCGGCTCCGATGCGGAACAAATGCCCAGAGTACAGTTTGTGGGATATGCCGGATTTGGATAGAATTTGGCGGTGGTGTTGGTGAAACCAGAAGCGTGTGGTTACTTTCCCTGTCTCTTTGACGAACAGAAGATCTTGGGGGAAAGCATGGCTGGCTAGTCTTGAGTCCACGTAGAGACGTTTTGGTTAGTACGGACTGAGGTAAGAATTGAGTTGGAAGACGTACAGTCCCCTCCAAAAGTATAGGAACGGTATGGGAAATTCCTTTGTTTTTGTTGTTCAATGTAGACATTTGGGTTAAGATCAAAAGATGAGTATGAGACAAGAGTTCAGAATTTCAGAATCCGCAGCTCAGGACATACCACCCTTTGTTTGAACCCACTCGTTTTTTTTGTTAAAACTTATAAAGACAGCATTTCCTGTTAAAGAGGATAAACCAACATGAATACCAGAGAGTCTCTGGGAGAAAAGCAAGCCATTGTCAAGCTGAGAAAAGAAGGAAAATTAACCAGAGCCATTGGACAAACATTGGGCATAGCAAGCACAACAATGTGGAATACCATGGCTTGGGCGTGCATGGCTGCTTCTGGAACAGGCTCATTAATATTTATTGATGATGTAACTGATGATGGGAGCAGCAGAATGAATTCAGAAGTGGACAGAAACATTTTGTCTGCCAATTTACGGAGAAATGCATTGAAACTAATCGGGAGAAAGTTTATCATGCAGCAGGACAATGACCCAAAGCAAGCTGCCAACTAAACAAAGGACTTCATCAGGGGAAAAAAGTGGAAGGTCTTAGACTGGCCAAGTCAATCACCTGACCTTAACCCAATAGAGCATGCATTTCACCTCCTGAGAGGAGACTGAAGGGAGAAACACCCCGAAACAAACAAGAACTGAAAGAAACTGCAGAAAAACCCTGGAATAGCATCACAAATGAAGAATGCAATAGTTTGGTGATGTCGATGGGACGCAGGCTTGAGGCAGTTATTGCAAGCAAGGGTTATGCCACCAAATATTACATGTTATTTACTTTAAGATCAGTTGTTCCATTACTTTTGCTCACCTAAGAATGCTGTGGTCTAATACAAACGCTGATATGTCCTAAGTTGTTTAACACATCTAGATGTGAAAACCAGGAAATGAGAGCTGAAATTCTGAACTCTTGTCTCATACTCATCTTTTTATCTTAAACCCAAATGTCTTCAGTGAACAACAAAAACAAAGGAATTTCTCTTACCGTTCCAATACTTTTGGAGGGGACTGTACATGGGTTGCGGTAGGCCGGACTGGTTGGTTTTGCTGCGTTTGAGGTGATAAGTGAGTGTGTCTGCGAATTGTATGGAAATGTCAGCCATGGTGCCGTGTAGGCTCAGATGGTAGTGGAGGCTAGAGGCAGTGAAGGAGGCAGCCTCTGAGGCTCCAGAGTCGTTACATAATCTATATACAACTTTTGGGATTTTGATGAACTGTTTCTGTTTTTGGTGCAGCTCTGACAGACTTAATTTCTTATTTTTAGTATTTAACATTTCACTCCTGTTTCTATTTATTCCTATGTTTTCTTTGCAGCTCAGTCAAAGTTGGTTTGTTCACATCAGCCAATCGTAGCCTGGGTTGGTGGTGATGTAATTTTGCCATGTCACCTTGAACCTGCACTTAGTGCAAGTTCTGAGATCGTGGTGTGGACCAAACCTGGTTTGGACCGAAAGTACATCTATGTTCACCAAGATGGACGACTGATGTACCAGAGTAAAAATCCATCTTATCATTCCCGAACAGCTATGTTTGAGGATGAACTGAGTAAAGGAAACGTCTCTCTGCAAATCTTCAATGTGGAAATCTCTGATGCAGGAAAATACTCCTGTTTCCTTCGATCACTGCAGAAAGAAGCTTCCATCCAACTCATTGTTGGTGAGTGAGACTTAAGCTTAATATAAATATTAATAATAGTCCTTTTGTTTTTATCATATCTTTAAAGTCAGAAATCGAAAAGCATGTAGCCCTAACTCTCTTCCATATCACATGTTCTATTAGCAGTGTAGTGAATGAAAGGCACAAATGTACAGAGCCCTGTAAGAACCATTGAATTAAAAATAAATATTCTTCACTAAAAGATGAGCTAAGAACAGTTTCCAACTTCGACTTTTTGGATGGTTCATTGAGAAAACCAGAGGGTTTGATGTGGTTTGGCATGGGCGGGAATGGAGCCTGAAGGCATGTTGTATGTTCCCAGGTACGTTTGCACCAATCATTGACCTACAAAGAAGCACTGGCAGTTACAACAGAAGCTCCAGGCATGCCCGAACGCTAGGCGTGCAGTGAGAAGAGACTGTTCACTTGAAATTACTTTTCGTTCGTAACAATTGCTACAAACAATGATGCTGAAAAGGTTAGCATATATACTGCTAGTTTTCTTCATTAAAAGAAAAACAAAGAACAGCACAAGGAGCCTGCCCTTTCGAAATTGTTCCAATGATGGAACCATTGATGGTTGTGTGTAACTGATGGTTCTGCGTAACTGGCATCTCTGTGTCGGGAGCCCCTATTGGAACCGGCTGCCATAGTTTTTGAAAGTGTGCAAAAGGTGGCGCTGGCATCTTGGTGCCAAAGCCCCTACTGAACCCAGTTGCTGTGGTTGTAGTGTACAGCTGGGGGCGCAGGGTGCTGATGACTATGTAGTTTGTCCTGTATGATAATGCTGGTGCTGTTGCTGTAAACCCTGAGGCTCAAAATTCTGGTGCTGGCTGACTCCCGTTTTGCTTTTGGTGCTGACCTTTCTGCTGTCTTGAGCTGGAGTTTATATGTGAACTGTTCCTTTAACAGTGGTGCTGCAGTCGTGGTGTGTGTGATTGCGTCCCCATGGGGTTGACAGAGCCGTGGGTATGACATGCGTTGAAAAGTTTGCTGGATTGTTTTTTTCTGTGAGACAGAATTATTTTATCTTTAAGCATTTTGTGAAGAGTGGCATATAGTCCGTTTTTAAATTGTATATGAAGACTGGTTGACACGGGACCTCGCTGGAGTGTGGTAATGCTGCGCTCTGCTGCTTGTTTTGAGGCGGAGGATTCATCATGTGAAATGTTCTTCAATGTTGAGGAGAGATGAACCATGTAAGATATTAAGTTAAAGCTGGACTCACCACCTTCCTGGCTGGTATTAAGACTGTGGAGTCATGGAGGCGAACAGTCCAGCTTCTAATGCTGGGTCTGCTGCGTTAATGGAAAAGTTGAAAATGATTGTTGTGAGTCCGTCCAAATGATTGAGGATATATATGGTGTCCGATTGGGGATAGCAAGATTGAGTCCATTCTCAATAAAAAGTAAGTGGATGAATGAAGTCGCTTTTAATAATTTTCAATATGGCATGGTAGCGTTAACTTAGCATTAATTTATACATGTTTTATCTAAAGCCAATGTTCTAAATTCCTCCTCAGGTGCTGTCTCCTCGCCCATCATACAGGTTGTCTCAGATAACAGTGACAGTGTGGTGTTTCAGTGTGAGTCTGAAGGCTGGTATCCAGAGCCTGAGGTGTTTTGGCTGGACGGTGAGGGAAACCTCCTCTCTGCTGGACCTACAGAGACAGTCAGAGGTCCTGATGACCTCTATACTGTCAGCAGCAGAGTGACTGTGGAGAAGAGACACAGCAACAGCTTCACCTGTAGAGTCCAACAGAAGGACATCAACCAGACCAGAGACACTCACATCCATGTTACAGGTTAGAAAGAGTTTTGTATAAATTATACAAAATACCACTGTTTTGTTTAAACTGTTAGTGTAAACTGTAGCTTGATTAAAAAGCGTCATGCTGTTCTGGTTTGTGTCATTTCAGCTGGTTTCTTCAATGATCAGAATTGTTGGTATTGCATTTGGAGCATCATCATAAGTCTTGGAATTGCCGTCTTAGTGTTTATTATCGCATGGATAAATAGACCGTAACGTAAGTCACATGTTAATTTTCATTTTTCTGTTACTGTCAGAGCTCATGGTTGTCTATATAATGAAATGTAGAGGTGAATTTGAATAGATTATATAACATATCCATGATTTAACATTAAAATATACTTTGATATAATGTAGGCAAAATGAAAAACAGAATAGTAAATATAAAATGTGGTGCAGAGGTAGCACTCGTCCAACACCACAGAGTACTGGATACCTTATATCCTGCTTTAGGTTTGTTCAGTACAATTGTCAGTGTTCCCACCTGTATGTCTTTGTCAGTGCACAAACCTAGAGAATTGGAAAATAGAGAACCAGGGGTGGTTTAAGTGATTTGGAGGCCCTGAGCAAAGAAGAAGTTGGTGAAATCTGAACTGCAGAACCCTACTGATTTCACTGGCAAAAATATGCAATTAGTGGCTAGTAACAAAAAAATGATTACTAGTAAAACAGGAATTGTTACTTGTAACTACTAAATAAGTATGGGTAGCTTTTAAATAGCTACTAGTAAGTTTTAAAGACTAAAGTGGCATCAACAAAGAGATCTATTTCTCAATCTATGCCTTCCTCTGGTGGTCAAACTGATCTTAGGCTTTATTCTCTCCTGCGCTTTAACACAGTTTAACGTCTCATATTGAATGATAATGTCATTATTTAGTGTCTCTGAATAATCCTAAATCCTAATAATTTAAAATAATAATACTATTACAATTAACATTCAAAGCTCTCCACAATATGTCTCCTATATGTCATTGACCTCATTCAGACCTGCACTCCATCTCGTTCCCTGCGGTCTTCCACGATAGATCTCTTGGCTCTACCGCACATCAACCTCAGTACAGTGGGTGCTAGGGTCTTCTCCTGCACTGTACCCAAACTCTGGAGCTCTCTTCCCACCCACATCTGTATAGTGGAGTCTATTACACAATTCAAAACTGCTCTCAAAACTCATCTTTTCAAACTAGCATACTCACTGTAATAATGTGACACAGATTTTCATTCACATCACAACATGTAAATGTATACTGTTTGGAGTGTTGATGTCCCATTGTCTGTATCTTTAAATGTGTTTATATTTAATATTGGCAGCTTCCCTTTAAATATTAGTACTTTTCTTTTAAAGTCACATTTAACAAAACCACAATAACATGAGGTTCGAGATCAAAACTGTAATCAATCAATCCCCATCCTGTCAGAATCGGCCAAATCTGATGTTTATATGAGCAGCAGCTCCAGATTTCAGTCTGTGCCATTTTCCCTCTTTTCTGGACATCTTACGTGATTCATAAAATGTCCAGGGGTACACTGAAGGTCAAGCGGTCACCTGATTGTGCGGTAAGTCATGAAATCCACCGTGGTGCATCGTGTGAACTTTCCGACGGATCTCTCTTCCACAGGCGTGTCGACTTTGATCTGCCGCATGTGCATGTTTCTGCCATTCTGGTGGTTGGCCAGGATCATGAAGGTGCTGATCGGTTCCTTTGTTCGCTAAAACACACACAAACACAAACATACACACACATTGGTGCTAATCGAATCTGCAACTTCCTGCCATAAAACACAAACACTTCACACAATGTCCCATGTAAAACAAGGAAGGGCATGATTTTAATTAGTTTTCTTCTAGTAGATACTGATAGGATTCAGATTCAGTACTGATAAGAAAACTTTTTTTCAGTAACTTACTTTAAGAAATATAAAAGTGTTTTTAATTTAAGAAATGTTCTAAAATGTTAAATGCTGTTTGAACACAAAAAGCCCTAGAAGAACTATAAAAGTGGCAAAGTTTTGATTGTAATCAGGAACGCTCAGATCAAGGAATACACAAACATTTAAACTGACTGTACTTGCTTGATACCACAGACACATTTTAGTCAGTACCAAAAAAGTGTTAAGTTCAAATGAAAAATCATAAAAATTTATGTCACAGGTTTTCCACTGTAAAGATCGTAATGTTTTAATATCAAAGTGATGGCAGCTAAACTCAAGTCTTCAAGTGCGGGTGTTTAAAGGGTCAGACAAGGAGGACAAGGGTCACAAGCGCCACATTCAAGGTAATTGTGATTTATAAAGCGAAATCAGCGTAGGACTTCCTGTGTTTTGTACGTACGCAACTTTCCTACGCACAGTTTTATAAATGAAACCCCAGGACTGGTATATGTGGTGAGCGGCTGATGAAGAAGGTGAGAACTGGTGAGCAGGTGCTGGAAACATGTACAAAGGAGACGAAAACTAAGGGAAGTTACCAAAAGCAAAGTCACAGAACAGGCAGAGAGGAAATGTTGTTCCCTAGTGGTTAGGACTATAAAGGTTGAAGTTCTAACAATCATAAATCACTCCCTGATTTCCCAGAGCCACTGAAACCTGCACTTCAGAAACCTCTCATAAAGAAAGATAACTTGGATCACTTAGTACTTTATTTTTTGAGTAAAATCCTGGAGGAGCCACTACTGTATACAGACAGCTAACTGATTGCTAAATTTCAACTGTATATTTGAGAGGTTTCAGCATGGCTTTTGTTCTCTCCATAGTTCTGAGACAGCACTAGTTAATGTAGTAAATTACCTGAGAGGGAACATAGACAATAATAAACTCTATATTAGTTTTATTAGGTTTAAGCACCACATTTGACAAAGCAGATGGCATACTCAGATTGCAGAACTGTATTGGACTCACTGGCTCAGTCTTGTTTAGGCTTAAATGTCTGAGAGAGAATTTCTGGTATCCCTTGGTGACTATTCCTCAGCCAACACTAAGGTAACATTTGGCGTTCCTCAAGGCTTTGGGGGGCCTGTGTTGTTCAGTCTCTATATGCTGCTACTGGGAAACATCATTAGAGAACATGGGATGAACTTTCACAGCTATGCTGATGATACACACAATTACACCTGTCTCTCAGTGCATTGATCATATCAATTTATGTGTGTCGCATAACTTCCTGCAACTGAACAAACAAAAGACAGAGGTTTTAATCATTGGTGAAAAGGCCCAGAGAGATTTATTTTGCACCACCTTGAAATCTCCTAAAATAAAGTTTTGCCGTGGTCTTAGACACTTAAATTTAACATCATTAAAAATGTGTTTTACCATCTCAGGAACATCTCTAAGGGCCCGTGTCCACCAAAGCATTTTTTTTCTAGTCTAGTTAGATTTTTTTTTAAATAGTTCCGTCCTCTTCTGATTTGGGATTATAAGCAGTAAGCCACTTGCATTCTCCTTTTCTGTGTTACTGTCAGGGCCTTTTTTGGCTGTAGCGATACTTAGGGGTTGATACCAAAGCATCAGTGGATTACAGTATATAGCGCAATGTTCATGATATACAGTATATACTTTCGATATGATGTAGGCAAAATAATAAAAACGGAATAGTAAATATAAAATGTGATGCAGAGGTAGCACTCGTCCAACACCACAGAGTGCTGGATACCTTGTATCCTGCTTTAGGTTTGTTCAGTAAAATTGTCAGTGTTCCCACCTGCATGTCTTTGTCAGTGCACCAGTGACTCTTACTGGTTGGTCTGGGAGCCTGTTACAGAGGAGGGGCCGATCATTGGAACAAGAACATCCACCATAATATGAAGAAGAAAATAAAGAAGTGGCACTCGTCTCAGATGTTTTGTTCCTCATATTAGAATGAAAACTTTAATGTTGTACCTGTAATGCAAAATGTCTTTTCTCCTGTCATTTTGATGTAAAATATTTTCAGCTCAACCATCATATTTCTGTTCTGCTACATTAGTTTCTCATTTTCACTATTTGAACACAGAATGTTTTAACCAACCGATTTCTTCTTCTTTTTGCACACAGGGATCAAAAAGATTCTGAATGGGTAATGCAGACTTCAAAAGTCTATAGTGAAAAAGGAAATAAACAAGATTAAGGCTGACGGTCTCAAGTTGTCCAAATTGAGAAAAGGAACAGAGAGCAGCTGGGGAACGAAGAGAGGGTGCAGATCAACAGAGAGGAAAGAAGAGAGAAAGAACAAGCAAATCAACTATGAAAGACAGAGAAACCACTAAAAAACAAACATGTTATTAGCATTACAGAAAAAAAGACAAACAAAGAACAGTGAGGGAAAATGTAGAAGATCGAGGAACTGGGGAGGACACTTCAGTCAGTGAAGACGATGGACAGAAATAAGATGCCCTCATGATACAGCAGGAAGAACTGTGGAGATGAACCTGAACTTCAGGAAGAGCAACACAGAGACAGCTGACAGTTTATAACACAATGCATGCTGCAAATTTATGTTTGGTCTCATGACCTTTTATTTCAATTTGGTCCTCGTTGATTGTTATTTTGTTTTTTACGTGCTGACAAAGTGATGTGACATAAGTTTTTGTTTGAAAGGTGTGTGCACGGCATCGTGTTGAATATAATTTTTTGCCATGAAAGGAAGTTGTTGTAATTTGACTTTCCATGGTCAGATCTGCACCAAACTTTACTTGATTAGATTCCCGGCCTGCAGACAAATAGGCCTACATGAAAAGTAGAAGTCATTGTCATTGTGCCACCAGGAAGTAAGCGTCACGTGACAATAACCATTTGATTTAGATTTTTACAGTGTGGTCCACACTTGATGTACTGGAACCTAAATTTTAAATAGGTGTCCTCTAACACCAAGTAGGCAATGGTGCCGCCAGGGAGTGACCACCCCAGTTGCCCCCCCCCTCGCAAGGAGCATATGCATAAAATGCTATATACTGTTTATATTATGTAACCCCTTGGTTTGAGTTAACAGGTGAATAGCAGCATGAAAGTGTTCTCATATTAGGCTCTGTCACTTTACACCTCTGACCCTGAGGTGTGATGTTTATTTTAGGAGAGGCCTCCGATTCATCCATGTAGATGGCAATCACGTTTCTAAAATTGTGACTGGTTAAGGGGCGGGACTAACACGCATTGCAGAGCAGAGTACACTGGTGTTGTGCCAATGTATGTGTTTTCTGCGGAGGCAGCAACAAGCTGCAGAAGAAAGAAAAGTCTAATTTAATTTATGTAGAGAGACAGTTAGTAGCCTGGCTAGTTTATAATAAGTTTGTCACACTGCTACACAGTTTTGTGTATTGTACTGTGTGTGAGAGCTAATAGTCTGCAGATAGCAACAGGTTAGCACCATCGGTAACAGCAAGCTAACGTCATACGAACACTGGAGCTCCTGACAGCGTGGTGTGTGACCGGCTGTTAACATTATGCTTCGAGGGAGACCGTCCTGTGCCTGTTTTCATCTTCATCTTTCTGAGAGGATTCCAAAACATGAGAACAGCGGGAGTCATCTGGACGATGCTGTGAAACTGTGCTCAATGTTACTTACGCCCAACAGGCGCTCCAGTGAGTAGCACAACAAACACTGTGGGGCCACAGCGAGTTGGCGGACTGTCTGAAAAACTTCAGTCACCCAGAAGTTTGCCCAGAGGAAAAAACGCCGGGCTTCATGCTGAAATGATCAAATAACTGCAACTGACCTTTTGTATCTGCCATCTGCTGTGTTTATTGTGTATTGAAAGCTGTCCTGGCTGCAGTTTTGGTGAAGGTGAACTGATCACTAATGATCTGTGTATGTCTGATAAGTTACATGAAATAAAGACTATTGTAATTGAGGCACCTTTGCCAATGTGACGTCCATCAGTCTACCAACAGTAGCCCGCCTTTTGAAGAGGCTCCAGGTATCAGTGAAACAAATACTTAGTGCCTTTTGAGAGAAACAATGACCAGTTGAAACAACTGAGGGACGTTACAGGTACAGCACTATATCCATCCATCCATCCATCGTCCACCCCCTATATCCTGCGTACAGGGTCGCTGGAGCCAATCCCAGCTGACATCGACCTGGACAGGTCGCCAGTCCATCGCAGGGCTACACATACACAAACAACCACTCACGCTCACCAATCAACGTAGCCCATGTGTCTTCGGATGGTGGTAGGAAGCCGGAGCACCCGGAGAGAACCCACACAGACACGGGGAGAACATGCAAAGGCCGGGGAAACCGAGGTTTGAACCCACAACCTACTTGCTGTGAGGCGACAGTGCTAACCACTGCATTGCAGTGGTTGAGTGGACTTTATCAGTTTTACATTTGTTTTTCAGTGCTGCTCCACTGAGGCGCTGCGTGCTAATAACAATGTAACGAGGTCTCCCGCAGAATGTAACAGACTAAAAGGTTTGTATTTGGACTAGAAATGTGCTAAAGTAAAAGGTAAAAGTTAAAAGTAAAATACAAATCTAGAAATAAAACTATGTAAGCACAGTAACAAAATACTTTCCACCATAATAAATAAATGTTACCAGGTATCACTGTTGAGTGTCTCTGAATTATATAGTGAATGCAGAGCGAACACAAACTGTTTCACTTCCTCTGCCCTCCTTCCTCTCTATACAGCTAAACAACCACAACAACTTCCACACACCATCAGAGGCATGCACAGATCAGTCAGCATTCATCATCATCATCATCATCATCTAGCATAACAGTGTACCTTCAACTTATACAAGTGATTTAATGCTGCCACTTTTGAATGAACATCTGACACAAGCTTGAAGCTGTGGAACTAGAAATAATTTCAACATATTAAAAGTTCAGGCTATAAATAAATATAGAAATTATTGTGGGTCTTGTTCAATTTGTAGCACTTTCAACATGATTAGTAGTGATTAGAAGTATATTGTGAGTATTCTTGTTTTTTTGTCTTCTGATGCTGAGGCGCACATGAGTTTAGCTGCTGTCATTTTGATTCACCATCGGTCATCATAGCCTACTGAGCAAAACCCAACACATTGGTAGATATTAGCCCAAGATCAGGGCTGCCACACAGAAGGAATGAACCCACTGAGCACACAGGCACGGGTGACGAAAGTTTATTTAGCTTACACTAGGTAATTCACAGGCAAAAGTACAGAGTCTAAAGGCTGGTAGCTTGGTCAGAAAAACACAGGTTTGATACAAAGGGAAACAAAACTCTAGGAATACGCTGGAACACTGTTGCTGGGAACTAGTAGATCTAGCAACTATTGCAGTGGAGGTGTGGGTATATCATGTTGCTTTCAGCCTTTTAATCTCTTGCCAAAAAGCTGCTTTTCTTCTGCCACAATCTTTCAGCCATGGATCATTGTTTTCTTGGCAGAACAATTACAGACAGCTAACTAATCACTTTTAAAGATTAAATCAGTAGTAGTAGTATGAGAGCAGCAGGCAGGAGGAGCGAGGAGATGCAGCTGGGGATTGTGCAGAAGTATCGTGAGAGGGGAGGAACCTGAAGCTCAGCCAAAAAACAAGTTAAGAGCACAAAACAACGATCACAAAGAAACACCAGAGAACTGAAGAGTCATTCCACAACAAAGGCGGAACAATCTGTGACAAAAGAGCAGAGAGATGATGCGCTGATAGAAGACAGATGTAAAGATGAGACAGGTGCCAGGAGAGGTCATGCCCACAACACACAGACACACAGACAGACAGTGAGGTTTTCTCAGCTGAGGAATGTCATGTTTACATGTTTATCAAGCGGTAACAGCACAACATCATATTCGTCATTCTGCAGGTGAGAGTTGCTTTTTAAAGTAAAACTTATATTATAGTATATTGTTGGATACTGTGGTGTATTTGGGATGTTTGATGCATGATAGTTTTGTCGTAATTCTAAAAGCATGATTAGCGTAAAGTGTGTTAAGAAAGATTGCTGACTCTCGTATAAACTCAAGAAATTAATGTGCAGCTTTAAACAATTGTTTACTCTTTGTCTCAGTTTCTGTGTATGAAAATGTGTTGATCCAGATTGAATGGGGTTCTGTTGCTCTGCAGACAAATTCTTTATGTTGGATCATTGAAGTCTACATCTTACTCATTGATCTAGTTGTGCGCCTCTCACTCCTCTTTCTGGACTGGTTAGAGCCAGTTTACTCTGTTCTGTGAAGGGAGTAGTAGACAGCATTGTACAAGATGTTCAGTTTCAGTTTCTTGCGTGGAATAGCTTCATTTCTCAGAACAAGAATAGACTGATGAGCAAGCAGAAAAAAATTTTGTTGCTTCTTTAATCAGCACAACATCTGTGTGAAAGAGAGAGAGAGAGGCAGTGTTATATAAATCACAAAATACATTTGTGAATCCTGTGTGTATGTCAACACCTAACAAAAAGCATAAAAAGCATAAGGTTCCCTTCAGTCTAAAGGTTTAGGCCAGTCTAAATAGATGCATTGCTTTGTAAGTCATAACACATGCATGCGGTCTTCAATCAGATTACACCGTCTACCCTGTTGAAAAAAAGTAAGTAAAGACATGTATTTGTGTCTCGTTCATGAAAACAACCAGAAAAGGCTTTTCTGTATTAAAATTTTTGTTTTTGTTTTTCAGGGCTCCAGGATGCTGCATCCAAAGACAGAGTCCAGTGAGAAAGTCTCCTCCAGGACCTGCAGTGTTTTGCTGTTCATCATTCTTCTAATACAGTCCGTTGGAGGTAATTTCAAAGAAAAACACTTCAGTAATCATGCTGATGATGTATTCTGACCAAAACAAAAAACCTCCAATCCCTCATATCCATTTCTGTAACAATGACTTCATCAGAGGAGGCGATAAAAATCAATGACACTGTAATCATTCACATCAAAACCACTGCATCAGTTTATTGGCACTACAATACATTTATTATAAAATCAGTCTACAGTCACACTGGTAGCACTGTGAGGTTAATGCTATCTTAATGCTAATGTCAGTATGCTAACATGCTCATAATGACAATGATTTGAAGCAGATATAAATTTGACCTTGTTCACCTTTTTAGTTTAGTGTGTTAGCATGATTTTAATCGTTAATTTGAAGTAAACAGAAAGCACAGCTGGGGCTGATAGGAGTCTCATTAGTTCTGCAGGTATTTGGTCATAAAGTATTGGACAAATTAAAGTTGGGACGTGATGGTGATGCTAGAGGAAAAGTTAGAAGGATCAATACTCTTGAACCATGAATATCTGTGCAATATTTAATGGGAATCCAAACCTTCTCAAAGTGGTGGACCAACGTTGCCATCCCTAAAAACTCCACTGAATCCAAATTTCTTTGCATTGCTGTACTTCACCCTGTTACAGGACTGTTTATAAAATGGTGGTAGGAACATTTTCTCTCAGTCTGATACTTTCTGAGACTTTTTATGGTTAGATAATGTCACAGGGTCACAGGCTGACTCAGAAAAAACTGCGGTCAACAAGAAAAGTAGAAAGCGAAAACAACAATGTGAAGGAAATTCTTGTAAGTCCACTCTTCTGCAAGATGAAGGTTTTCAGGAAATTTAGTATTGTTTGCTCTATATGTGTTGCCATCCTACTGGATGCTTAACTGCTTTACCTAAGTCACATTGATAACTAGAGGTCACATGTGTTGCACACTAAGTGGAGAAACATCTAAGACTGAAAACATAGATCAAATCTGGCCTCTGCCCCTACATAAAAGCCATTCCTATCAGGGCAGCTGTCTTGTTTACTGTAATTATGCCAAGACGGCAGACTGCATTTGACTTCTAGATCTGACAGTGACCCTCGAGCATGACATGTAAATGACCCATGGCTCATCTATTGCCACAGAACCATAGACTGTACAGAACTCCACAAAAGACAATTCCCTCTCAAACAAGACTTTTCCAGCTTCATGTTAAACACCATAATGCTGCCCTACACTATAAATGTGCTTGAAGCTCAAAATATTTATGACTTTTAGGATTTTGATCTTTTCCATGTTTTAATGCAGCTCTGAGACATTTAATCGATTATTATATATAAAAAAAAGTCACATTGATGACATATTATAACTTTGCTCATGTTTTACTTTTATTTACTTTGCAGCTCAGTCAGAGTTGACTTGTTCACATAAACCAATCGTAGCCCTGGCTGGTGATGATGTCATTTTACCATGTCACCTTGAACCTGCAGTCAGCGCCAGTTCTGAGACAGTGGTGTGGACCAAACCTGGTTTGGAGCCAGAGTACATCCATGTTCACCAAGATGGACGACTGATATTTCAGAGGCAAAACCCGTCTTATCATTTCCGAACAGCTCTGTTTGTGGATGAACTGATTAAAGGAAACGTCTTCCTAAAACTCTCCAGTGTGAAAATCTCTGATGCAGGAAAATACTTTTGTTTCCTTCAATCAATGCAGAAGGAAATTTCCATCCAGCTCACTGTTGGTGAGTCAGACTGCAGCTTTATTCACTTAGTAATAAAATATTCTGTGATGCACTGCTTTTATCATACAGAATAGAGTTTCAGGGCCACATGTGATAAAAATGTATTTGAGTTCTGAATTTAAACTAAAGACTCAAATAACCCGTGGCCCTAATACTCTTCCACAGCATGTTCGACTAACATGTGTACAAAAGGCAGTTGAGCAATTTATTATAAGTACCCAGCTTTGATAAAACACAAATCAACAAAGTAAAAGAGGAACACTTCAAAATGCAAAATCCGAGTAAAATTAACATTTACTGGCAATAAACATTAAAGGTGCCCTTGTCTCTTGGCACATTACTGCCACCTGTAGATCAGTGGAACAAAAAGTGCATTTGACTTCATGCAACAGTTTGCAGTGCTGACTTTACGTGATGTTTGTCTGGTTAGAAATTGTGTCCGACTTTCGCCCACACTGCAAAACTTCACCATGTCACATGACATTGAAATCTCAGCTCATCATACTGCAAAACTCATGCAAGATGTCTCTCTCTTTCACAAAGGATGTAGAAAGGCTTGCACAGTAAGCTATTTCCATTATATTGTATTATTGTATTCTACAGTGGATTTGGATTTTTTTGTTGATTAATTAAGCCAAATGTAACTCAGCTGTCCCCTTCATTTAATTGTGATTTTATCTGAACAGTGTTCAAAGGAAAAAAGAAACTACAGGCAGAAGAAGATGAAGTGAAGGAAACTTTTAAAGGTTTAACACTGTTTGATCATTTGGTACTACATTTAGCTAAATTATTGTTTTTGTGTGTGAGCAGGAAGTGTGGGAAGTTTTGATTAGCTCGTTTTATATTGGAGCTATTTTTTCAACTATTCTGCCAATACTATTTGTTCTTCTGTACTTTTATCTGTCTTTTGTCAATTAACCAACCCTCTAGCTTATTTTGTTGTCTTGAAATCATTGCTGAATCACATAAGCAATTTGATGTGCTGTGGATTTAATGAGGTCAGAGAGGTTTGGTCATTTGAGAAACTGAGCTCAAAGGCCCAATGGTTCTTAGCTGAAAAAAGATTGCATTGGGTTTGAATATGCATCAGTGCTTTTCAATATAGTGTGGAATGGGTGAAATGTTACTAAGGAACATTTAGCATGTGGATAATTACCTGCTTCATAAATAATTCAACTTTCAAGGCAGACTAATCTTTGGTAGTTTGCCTCTGAGTGATTGTCTCCATATGCTGCGATTACTGTTAATGAAATATAGCTTGTAATTATTATTCAGCTGTTTAGCACACCACTACCCCTTCTCATGGGGCGGCTGTGCAGCTGTGGCTCAGGAGGTAGAGCAGGTTGGCCGTTAATTGGAAGGTTGGCGGTTCAATCCCTGGCTCCCTCTGGTTGCATGTTGAAGTTTACTGAACCCCGAATTGCCCCTGGCGGCTATTCCGGCAGTTTATGAGTGAGTGTGAATGTTAGTTTCCTTTTTTGAGCACTTAAGCTCAGTGTATGAATGTGTTTCACTGGGGAATGCAGATGTAGTGTAAAAGCGCTTTGAGTGGTCGAAAAGACTAGAAAGGCGCTATACAAGTACGGAGCATTTACATTCGTGGGTAACGTAACAGATAAAATCATTGATTCCTAGTGAGAAAGTCTCCTATTAACTTTCCACCACGCAGTGCAGTGACTCGACTAACAGCAAACACACACACACACACAAATTAATGGATTGATTAATAAATCAATTGTAAAGAGAGTTTGCTGAGAAAGAAACTGAAAAAAAAAAATTGCTTCCTGAGTAAAGGCACATGTACTTGTGCGAAAGAGATCAGACTCAGAGTAAGACTCAATAGTAAACAGGTCAACATAAAGAAACATACAGAAATAAACAACAATGCTAACCAGACCACAGGGCCATTATGTGTCTGTGAAAGTCTGACTTGAAACATGAGGCTCTGTAGTGTTGTATTCTACAGTAATAAAAACCCTAAAGAATATCTGAACCTGCCTTTATTTTCATCATCTTGGTTACTCACATTTACACTTGTACTCGATTCACACATAGCAATGTGTATTACTGTTTGAATGGCACTGACTAACCAATAACAGTCTCTCTCCAAGCAACTTCTACTATTTGGCAGCTGAAACTCTGCTTTACTTACAAAGTTGTTCAATGCAAATTAATCTGAACAAAACCCAGGTAGTTCTTGAATGCCATGGCTAGCTAGCTTGCTAACAAAATGCTACATGTAAATAAGACAATCTGGAGCCTTTGGAAGATTTATCGTGAACACGATATTTCAGGAACGCCTTGTGGGAATGTGTTCAAATGTGGCACAAATGTCCACTTGGACTGAAGGATGAACTGATTAGAGTTTGGTGGTCAAAGGTCAACTTCACTGTGACACCCTAAAGTCCTTTTTTGGCCACACCATAACTCAGGAACTCAGGAAGGGGAGATTGTGTCCACATTTTGTAGTTTCACAGGACAATGAGTAGGTGATACTGTACAACATTGTACAACATTGCAGATTTCATAGACGTTGACTGGGACGACACCATGAGTAAACAATAATTGGTACAATATGGGCTTTCCTTCATCTAAGCCATTCTGCATTTGAGGATCATCGGAATCATGTGACTGCAACAATGTATTGGAGCGAATCCAGCGTTTTGCGTGGCTTGATTACATACAAAGTCAATGCAAAGATGCGAATTCGCTCCGGGCAGTGCGGAAGATGCGTTTGTTGCAACATTCGTTGGTTCGCTAGAGTTCAAATTTCATATGTTTAACAAATCTGCACCATGTTGTAGTTATTTTGGCATCAGTTTGATACGTTTATTGCAATTAAACAGCAAAATGTTTACTTTGGGTTCAAACAGCTGCAATAATGGTGAGTTGTATTTATTCATTTATCACGTTGTGTGTGAACACTTGGCAGTTGTCCAGCGATAAAACCTACATGAGGAAAGCGTTGCGAGGATTAAATTTGCGTTTTATGTGAACACACCATTAGTGAGTATAAGACTAAGATTCCATCTTTACTCAATAAATGTGTATCTGTTTAGCCAATACATCTATGATAATCCTTCATTAATCAGTTTAACAACAATAATCATTGTCAACAGACATGGATGTAAACTGCATCTTGACCTGTCAATGTAAAGATGCAACCACATGGTGGTACTTCTACTTTATACCAACTGGCAGTTTCTCCCTGCCCTCAGTGTTTGAGCTAATAGGCTTAACACAACCTGGAGCAATCAAACAACTGAATACACCCTAAAAGAAAACAAAAGAACAAGTAAAAAATTTTTAAAAAACTTGCAGGGGCAAGGTGGCTGCAGGCATTAATTCTGGCGACCGCAGTTGCTTTTCTCTGGCTGTACAAAGTTAGAACCGCTTTTTGTCTGATCTCGCAGCATTTGCAAAGACAAATAACAGTGTGAAATGTGGCCAACTTGATGCCGGTGTTTTTATTCCCTGCCCCTGTAGTCACCTGCAGCTCAAGTTTGACTATCAAGTCGGCGAAAATCAACAGGAGTCATCTCGAACGCACCTAATGATAAACCAAACAGGGACCCACTGATAAAATAAACTCAAAGCGGTCAAACACACCACAGGGTGACTTTAAATTCCACATAATAACAGCTGATGGTGATGATTTACTATAAAGGGCAGCAGTGCAGAGAAGAAGACTGTAAATCTTTTATGAGGTAGTAAATACACTTAACATGGTGGTAAAGGTCGACCTTTTCTTTAAAAAGTGTTTTAATATAGTTTAACAATGATACAAATTAGTGACATTTTATATATTATAAGTGTTTTTGATGTAAACCCCACTGTACCTCTCTCCTCCTCAGGTGCTGTCTCCTCGCCCATCATACAGGTTGTCTCAGATAACAGTGACAGTGTGGTGTTTCAGTGTGAGTCTGCAGGCTGGTATCCAGAGCCTGAGGTGTTTTGGCTGGACGGTGAGGGAAACCTCCTCTCTGCTGGACCTACAGAGACAGTCAGAGGTCCTGATGACCTCTATACTGTCAGCAGCAGAGTGACTGTGGAGAAGAGACACAGCAACAACTTCACCTGTAGAGTCCAACAGAAGGACATCAACCAGACCAGAGAGACTCACATCCAGGTTACAGGTTAGAAAGAGTTCTGTAGAAATTAAACATGATGTTTTAAACAGTTGAAGTCTAGTTTGATTTAAAAGCATCATGCTGTTCTTTGTTGTATCATTTCAGCTGGTTTCTTCATTGATCATTGTTGTTGCCATTGCATCTGGGGAATCATCATTACTCTTGGAATTGCTGTCTGTGTTTTCATTATTATCAAACGAACAACTTAAACGTAACGTAAGATACATATTTGTTTTCCTTTTTTGTGTCACGTTACTTTCAGAGCTCCTGTCACTTATGACTGTATAGTGACATGTAGGGGTTAAATCCGAAGCATCAATAGGTTATACAACACCTTATCACTAATTTAAATTAAAATATATTTTGATATATAGGCAAAATGAAAAGCAGAACAGGAAATATAAAATGTTGTACAGATGGTGCAGAGGTAGCACTCGTCCAACACTGCTTTAAGGACACTGCTTTAGGTGTTCCCACCTGTATGTCTTTGTCAGGAAACAAACAAGTGGCACTTGTCTCAGATGCTTTGTTCCTCATATAGAATGAAAATTTATATGTTGTACCTGTAAAGAAAATGTCTTTTCTCCTGTCATTTAGATGTAAAAATATTTTCAGCTCAACCATCATATTTCTGTTCTGCTGCTTTAGTTTCTCATTTTTACAAATTTTCTTTTCTAAGGAAAAACTACATGAACACAGAAGGTTTTAACAGATTTCTTCTTCTGCTGGCACACAGGGACCAGGAGGAACAAGAAAACTGACGGAAACGAAATTAAGGCCGGCGTTCTCGAGTTGTCCAGATTGAATGGGCTAAAGGAACTGGAGAACCAGGGAGCAACTGGGGAACAAAGAGAGTGCAGACCAACAGAGAGACGAGGAACAAACAAATAAGAAAAGAACAAAGTGAAAATGGAGAAGAGGAACTGGAGAGGACGCTTCAGTCAGTGAAGACGATGGACAGAAATAAGATGCCCTCGTGATACAGCAGGAAGAACTGTGGAGATGAACCTGAACTTCAGGAAGAGCAACACAGAGACAGCTGACAGTTTATAACACAATGCACGCTGCAAAGCAGTTTTTCATACAATGTGACTTTAAAACAAACTAACAGAGATTATTAAATCTGTAAAAGATAAGCAAATGAACATGTCACCAGTGCAGCAATGTGACTCGACTACAATGAAGCTCTATGGCACAGAGGAAGATAAAAAAAATCAACAGCTTTAGTAACTTTAAAGATGACAATTTATCATCCCCCTCCTATATTTTATTATTGAAATATTGTTCCTGTATGAGCGGAGAAGATTTGCCTCCTAAAAGCTAAATAAACTATTTAATGCTTTTAGGCTTTTTCCCTCTCCTTTATTGAGTTATACTCCTTTTTTGTGCATGTAATAGGTTTGCAAAGTGAAAAAGCCCAAAGTCCACCCCAAAGGGAGTTCCCATCTCCAACAGAAAAGTCATGCTTGAAAACAACTTATTTGTAGCCTAAACAGGGCATATGTGGTTCTCATAGGACAGCGACACTACAAAAATATAATGATCTTATAAACCATGATGGATTGTTGTATGTTAAACCACCCAATAGAGTAAAAAGGAGGAAAATCTGTTAAATCTTAAACATCTACAGCAGTAAAATGCAACATACACATTAATGCAGCAGGAACATTAATCCAGAAACATCAGATATAATAGTGAAAAACTGACAGGGAACATTTTATTATACTATGAGTGCTTTTAATTTGATACTTTAAGTACAGCAGGAATATTACTACTATTACTAATATAAACCACTTGCATACTTTTAATGCAGGACTTTTACTTGTAGTGGAGTATTTTCACAGTGTAGCCTACTTTTACTACTTTTAGTTCAGTAAATGGTCTGAATATTTGTTCCACCTCTGGTGCTTTTTACCGTGATGATTATCTGAGCAAATACTATGTATAACAAGCTAATAAGATAATTTAAAGCTGAATGGATCAGATGGGTCAGAGTGATTTTCTGGTTGAGTTCAGCACCATGGACAGAGACAGTGGACGACCACCTGTCTGTCCAGCACCTGCTGTTTCTTTCACTGTGAGTTACTGGATCGACTCTATATGGGGTATTTATACATGAGTCTGAATTTTAAAAGCAATGTCACTGTAATTATTCACGTCAAAACTAATTTTTATAAAGTTCTACAATCATTATAAATGAATACGGTCACACTGGTGAGGCTTCACTAACTGTAGTTTGAGCTTAATGGTAAAATGCTAACATGCTCATGTAGACAGTTGAAAACAGGTAACTTTGTGTGACCTGAAAGTCAGTTAAGAGAAGAATATGTATAGAGAGAAAAAACAGACACCCCTTTTTTGGTTGTTCTTTTAATTGATTTCATCAATCACATACTTTTATTTAATTTTGAGTCAACATATGGTTATTTGACAGCCATGCCACTAGAGGGCGCATCACACTTGGGTGATATAGGATAGTATCTCAGGCACGCATGCACTGAAAAAAGTCAACATTGCTGTTGTTCATTTAATGTGTATTGTGAGAGCCATTTGGTTTAATATTTATTATTTCTTGTTGTTAAACCTCACGCCACCAGGGGTAGCCATGGCGCTGTCAATTTGGCTGCGCCAGACTTAATTTAATCAAGGTCCAACAAGGCACAGGTGTTTCCGAGACAGAGAGGGGAGCAAACAGGTTTTTGACCGTGCAACTTGCGATGTGGTAGGAGGAATGAAAGTGGGGTTATTGTATTTCCTTTTATATTTATACCTATGATGTACTTGTGTAATGGACACGACATTAGTTTAAAATAAATCCGTACTGGCAACATTGGACATTGAATCTATATTTCACGCGTCATAAATAATAATCATCCAGTCCATATCCCTCAAAGACCTGCTGCGTCTCTCTACATGCTTGCCCTTTCCCTCGGACCACATTCGCTGCAGTGCCTTTCTTCTTTTTTCACTCCATTGCCAGCGGCCTGCGGTGCAATCACTTACACAGAGGCGCATTTTCTAGACTAAGTCAATGGCGCTTCTAGGGACTTTACTATGCGCCTTGTCTGTGTGAGATTTACGAGCAAGCGATCGTTCCGGAGTGAGTACATCTAACAATGTGGATTGCCCGCTGAATTTACCCCTACATGTCACTGTGCAAACACGGCTGGATGAGGACATGAATTTAGCATGCATGCTACCCAGAGACCTACCTAGTCTTCAAAGCCTCTTGGCTTTGAATAATTACTTTGCATTCAATGAGAGATCTCGTTGGGACTTTATGTATGAACTGTCTAAGGAATCGTCATTTAATGTTGCTACACGAAGATTGTTGATTGTTTTACTTATCTGGCAACGTGCAACCTAATCCTGGCCCTGAGTTGCAATGTATTCAGATGCCATCTGATTGTAAATCCTTGTCGATATATCACAATGATTGTGAAAGACATTTGTGGTGATGGTATGATATTTAAGACCAAGCATTGCAGTTCATGATCATTCAGCCATTGAATTTCCTGACACTGAATATTGTTTTATTTTTAAGTCCAGTTGTCAGAGATGATTGTGTCGGTGTTGTTTATTTAGTCTTCTTGGTAAACTTATTGTAAAGTGGTGGGTAGACCACAGCATGCACGTGCAGAGGGGGGTGCAATGGGTGTTTGAGCACCTGACCTAGTACAAGCACAGTTGATCCACATCCAGCTACAGCCAGTACTAGCACAAACCCAGTCCAGACATCTTTAGCAGGTCTCACAGACCCAGGTGAAGTGCAGCCTCAGCCAGTACGAACACAGCCACCATCAGATACATTATGGCTATGGCAGAAATTTGCTTATGGCCACAGGGAAATCAGCACCGGCTGTGCCTACATGTTATACTGTGTTAGTGTGTCTGCATTTCCCTGTTATTTCTCCCCTCCCTCTCTGTCATTGGTATGCCCCTACCCTCCTCTCATCCCCCATCTACCTGTAGTTTCCAGCAAGGCTTTCATCTGTTCACACCATTTTCCAATCATTCCTCTGAGGAGTTGGTCAAACTTCCTAGCAGAGTTAACAGTTGCCATTCTGCAGGTAAGCTGCATTTTAAAGTTAACTTTTATATTAAATGTTGTTTATCAAAAGTTCACAATCTTTGACTGTTCAAACAATAAGATTATTTTGTAAATTTAAAAGCAAATTCGCAATGTTGTTTGTGATCATATATAAAGCCTGTGTGTGTGTGTGTATATGTATGTGTGTATATATAAAAGAAATTAATTATTGTATACAAACATTTTTAAAGGTAACTTTGAACACCATTTATAAAGTCCAAACTATTAAAAGGTAAAACTCTGAAAAATTGAGGGAAAGATTGTATTTATACTTCAGGAAGACCCAAATAAAGCAAAAGGATAAAGATACTGCCACCCGAAAGCAAATGTTCTTTACCCGTTTGCATGCAATTTGCATGTGTACTTCATGTCGGGCAACAACAGGTCACGTTGGAGAGTCGTATGAGTTGCTTTTTAAACTAAAACTGTATAGTAAATGTGGGATATTTTGTAATCTTTGTTGTTAAAACAACACTTTAGAGATGCTGAATTGTAAATGCTCCGTATTTGTATAGCGCCTTTCTAGTCTTTTCAACCACTCAAAGCGCTTTTCTGCATTCACCAGTCACACACATTCATACACTGAGCCTAAGCTCAAACGGAAACTAACATTCACACTCATTCATACACTCATTCATTCGGGGTTCAGCATCTTGCCCAAGGATGACACGCAACCAGGGGGAGCCAGGGATTGAACCGCCGACCTTCCGATTAACGGCCAACCCGCTCTACCTCCTGAGCCACAGCCACCCCATAATTAATTAATAATTAAAAACTTTGTCACACCACACTGAGGCACAATTTAGAATGGCTTGAAATTTTATTAAATTAGAAAATGTTTTAAAGGATACGTCTATTAATACAAAACTCACATCCCCATATAAAGTTTAAGTGTGTTTTAAGTTTTAGTGACATCAAGTGGTGAGGGTTGCGAATTGCATCTCCCCTCTCCTATCCAAGCGAGTTGTATAGCTGCAGTGCCTGAGACAGGACAAAAGACGTTATCTATGAGATAACAGTTTGTCAAGAAATTAGTTTTCTTTAGATATATTAACAAATTACATTTACTTAATTCTTCAGTAAAACCATATGTTGTGAATATTTGTTACTTGTTCATTAATAAACAACAGCCACATCAAGAAATGAAGTGCTACATGATGTCTCATACTCCCGTAATACATTATTTTACAACTTGGGAGGGTTGGCTCATCTGGACTAACATACCAAAGAAAAAGAACACATCCAGTGCATCAAGTATGACCACTGACAGATAACAGGACAGTGTAAGCCTCACTATTTCTGCACCACAATAAACCACATGATACATTAAGCTTACGAAGGCTGGGGAGGATCTAGGCTCCTCTTACTTTGCTTAATATTAGATAAGCAATCTGCAAATCTTACCAAAATGTCTTTTTAATTTTTTAAAATACAACAGAAACAAAGTAGTACTGAAAGCCATAATTTAAGCTTGTGGTAAAATGATGCAACATTTTTAATGGGCATTTAGCATGTGAAAGTATAAATTACACATTTGGTGTACAGTAGTGAAGTAATATCCAATAATGTTCTTTTTAATGTAAATTCTGAAAGTATTCATTATTACTTGATAGGCACACAGTCTTGTTTTATATCACCATTGGCAGTGAAAAAGTAATACGTTTTCCACCAGGGCAGTAAAATGTGAAGTTTAGCTGCTGATCTGAGCTTCCCTGCCGTTACCATTTTAATACGGCACATTTCTGTCCACGTAACAAAGCCATAACAGAGCATCGGAAAATAACTACATGTAACATGTTTTTTCTAACAGGGCAAAGTTTTAGCTGGCTGATAGCTTCCATGCTCTAAGCCAGTGGTTCTTAACCTGGGGGTCGTGACTCCCCTGGGCGAGAATGCTACTATATACACAAAAATAAAAACAAAACGTATAAATAACTAGAAAGACTATAGGAGGAGATAGGTCGGCGGTTCAATCCCTGGCTCCCCCAGGCTGCATGTCGAAGTGTCCTTGGGCAAGATACTGAACCCTGAATTGCCCCTGGCGGCTGTTCCGCCAGTGTATGAATGTGTGTGAATGGTGAATGCAGATGTAGTGTAAAAGTGTTCTGAGTGGTCTAAAAGACTAGAAAGGCGCTATACAAATACAGAGCATAAGTATTTGATCACCTACCAACCAGTAAGAATTCCGACTCTCACAGACCTGTTAGTTTTTCTTTAAGAAGCCCTCGTTACCTGTATAAAAGACACCTGTCCACACACTCAAACAGACCCCACCTCTCCACAATGGCCAAGACCAGAGAGCTGTGTAAGGACATCAGGGATAACATTGTAGACCTGCATAAGGCTGGGATGAGCTACAGGGCAATAGGCAAGCAGCTTGCTGAGAAGGCAACAACTGTTGGCGCAATTATTAGAAAATGGAAGAAGTTCATCTCCTTCGGTCTGGGGCTCCATGCAAGATCTCACCTCGTGGGGCATCAATGATCATGAGGAAGGTGAGGGATCAGCCCAGAACTACACGGCAGGACCTGGTCAATGACCTGAAGAGAGCTGGGACCACAGTCTCAAAGAAAACCTTTAGTAACACACTACACCGTCATGGATTAAAATCCTGCAGCGCATGCAAGGTTCCCCTGCTCAAGCCAGCGTATGTCCAGGCCCGTCTGAAGTTTGCCAGTGACCATCTAGATGATCCAGAGAAGGAATGGGAGGTCATGTATGGTCTGATGAGACAAAAATAGAGCTTTATGGTTTAAACTCCACTCACTGTGTTTGGAGGAAGAAGAAGGCTGAGTACAACCCCAAGAACACCATCCCAACCGTGAAGCATGGAGGTGGAAACATAATTCTTTGGGGATGCTTTTCTGCAAAGGGGACAGGACGACTGCACCGTATTGAGGGGAGGATGGATGGGGCCATGTATCGCAAGATCTTGCCCAACAACCTCCTTCCCTCAGTAAGAGCATTGAAGATGGGTCTTCCAGCATGACGACGACCCGAAACACACAGCCAGGGCAACTAAGAATTGGGTCCGTAAGAAGCATCTCAAGGTCCTGGAGTCTCCAGACCTTTGGCAAGGATTATACTTTCCGCATCCGTGAGTATGCTAGGGTCCGCGTGACGAAAAAATCGTCATCAGAGCGGGTGCGCGTAGGGTGCGCGCCAGGTCTGTGTGGCGACTAGTGCTACCAGGGCAACAACCGAGCTACTGCGCATGTGTGGAACGTGTCTGCCAAGCTGACTACAGAAGGTAGTATAAACAGAAGTAGCTGGGTCCGCAGTTGTCAGTGTCCGTTCCCGAGTATATTTGAGGCTTTAGTCCTTTGTTTATCAACACACACCTCCAAAATCTTCAGGGGGAGGACACCCAGAACCCCCCATCAACTATTTCATTAATACATTTTTTTTTGCATTGGAACAAAGTCTCATCTCCCGACCTGACATTTAGATTATTATTTTTTTCAATAAATGTATTTGTTTGACAGGGAAACTGTGCAAACAGGAATGCATATTAATTTATTTAAAAGGACACTTCCGCTCCAGGAACAGAAAGGGCGTACTTAAGCCCTTTTATGTCTGTGTGTGTGTGTGTGTGCCTGGTGGAAATGTTGTTCAATTATTTGACATACAGTCAGCGAGGAAAAACAAAACACACCCCTACTAATTTCTACCTGGAGCTCTGTCAGGTTCATGTCGGTGTTGGTCTGGATCGCATAAATGTCCTGTAAGACAGCAACAAGTTTAAAAACAGAAGGACTGAACTCTCAGATAATATCACGACTTATTTGCATTTGCCCCACAGTGGGACAGTGAAGTACATGGCACACATTTGCAAACATGCAAAACATCGACAAAGACGTTGCCCATGTAAATGGTGAAGGTACTTTACCATTATCACATAGCCTACACATACATGTTGCGAGATTCATCCTCTGCATTTAACCCATCCCTGAAGGGAGCAATGGGCAGCCACTGCACAGTGCCCGGGGACCAACTCCAGATTGAATGCAATGTCTGGTCAAACAGCACTGACTGGAGAACCTACCTAACATGTTTTTAAAAGCAGATAGTGTTTACAGAAAGGATTTGTTAATGTTGTGAAAAATAGTTTGCACCAAAAGATTTTAACTAACAAATTAAAATGCTTTGAGAAAGGTTTATTTTGCACATTTAGAAAAAATGTAATACAATTTTAAATATAGAGGAAACAAATGTACATTGTCCAAAAACAATTATGTGAACTAAAAAACAAACAAGTAGCCTTTGTCACCTGCCAGCTGAGTTTTTTTATTTTCCCTTTTTTATAAATACAGACATTTCCAACAGGAAATCAACCCTTAAATTCTCTGGGGGAGAATTGTTACACTGTTATACATTTTTCACAACGTTTAGGCTAAAGGAAACTTTGATCTCCATTTTGCACACAGAGTCAAAACTATTCTAAAACATTTTAAACTCTGAAAGATTATGAAATAAAAGATGCATGTGTTGATACTTCTCCCTCTACTGAAGTAGTAGGTTGATGAAACAAATTCAAAATACATAGTCCTTAATTCAGTGTTACTATTTTAATTAGTTATCTACGTTAGCTGTTAAATATAAATGTAAAAAGTTCTTCTTTTGAATAATTTCTTCAGCAGAAGGTTTGCATGTACTGAGGAGTTGTGTGTATATAGTGATATTTTATTTCATGCCAGGCAACTACAGCACAACATCACATCAAGAGTGAATTTACAGACTAATAAGCCTTTTGTCTTTTTAAACTTTTGTTTATGACTTTAAGGAGTCCAGGATGCTGCACCCAAAGATAGAGTCCAGTGATGGAGTCTCCTGCAGGACCTGCAGTGTTTTGCTTTTCATCTTTCTTCTAATACAATCTGTTGGAGGTAATTTACACTCCAGTAACACTAGTGTGTGTGTGTCTTGGAAAAGAGAAGACATAACTGTAACAGTAACTTATTCAGACAAGGTGATAAAAATCAAATAGGTCCGATATGCTCACAATGACTGATGATTTGTAGCAAATACACTTTTACCTTGTTCACCATCTTAGTTTAGCTAAACACAACTACAATTGAGGCTGATAGGAGTGTCATTAGTTTTGCAGGTATTTGGTCACAAATGAAAGTTTTGACCTGATGGTGGCGCTCTATAGAGGCGCTCAATTCTCTGGGAACCATTAATGTCTGTTCAACATTTAATGGGAACCAATCTAATCTTTTCAAAGTGGTGGAGTGATCGACCATCGTTACCATCTCTAAAACCTCCACTGAATAACATTGACAGCTGGAGTTGACCTCCAGTTGTCAATGTGACTTAAAGCTGCATACTAAGCAGAGACAGTGAGTCTGTAAACAATGAAAAATAAATGAGCCCATATCTCTGGGCAGCTGTCGTGTTTACTGTACACAATAATACTGCCAGGCAAAGTTTGACTTTTAGATCTGACCTTGAGATGTAAATGACCCGTAACTCATCTGTTACCACACATATTCTACTAAAGAACTTTCCCTCACAAACAAGACTTCTCCAACCAAACATGTTAAACACCATACGTGATGGTCTTTACGCTGATTTTAATGCAGCACTGAGGGATGTAACTGATTTTGTTTTGGTATTTAACATTTCATTTCGATGACATAACTTTGCTCATGTTTCTTGTTTGTACTTTTTTCTTTGCAGCTCAGTCAGAGTTGACTTGTTCACATCAACCAGTGGTAGCCCTGGCTGGTGGTGATGTCATTTTACCATGTCACCTTGAACCTGCAGTCAGTGCCAGTTCTGACACAGTGGTGTGGACCAGACCTGGTTTGGAGCCAGAGTACGTCCATGTTCACAAAGATGGACGACTGATATTTCAGAGGCAAAATCCATCTTATCATTATCGTACACGACTGTTTGCGGATGAACTGATGAAAGGAAACGTCTCCCTGAAAATCTTCAGTGTGAAAATCTCTGATGCAGGAAGATACTATTGTTTCCTTGAATCAATGCAGAAGGAAGCTTCCATCCAGCTCACTGTTGGTGAGTCAGACTGGAAAACTAATCGGATGATAATTGTTTATTCAGCCATGTTTAGTCTCCAGAAGTCTTGTTCTTCTTCCTGCCTTTGTTGGTCCAGGTCTGCGTTTCTTGCTACATTACTGCCACCTGTAGATCAGTGGAACAATAGAAGTTTCGCCGACTTGATAGTCTAACGTGAGCTGCAGGGGCGGGGAATAAAAACTGCACCGTCAAGTCAGACACATTCTACCTGCGTGAGCTTACTGTGAGCTGAGATCAATGATTGATCTCGTGGCATTTGCAAGGAAAAATACCGCGAGACCAGGCAAAAGTGTGGTTCCAACTTGGTGCAGCCGGGGAAAAGCAACTGTGGCCGCCGGACTCGCCTCCTGCGAGGTTTTAATGTCATGTGACATGGTGACGTTTTGCAGCGACACAATTTCTAACTAGCATGCCTTATTTCAAGTCCAGCATGCAGCGCTGACTTAACATGATGCATGCTGGAATCATAGACAGTATATTACTGGACGAAGCCACCCCGCTGATTTAAATGGAGAGCAGTGAAGCCAGTTTGGTCATAGGAAATAGGGCTACTTCCTGTTGGCTGCATAAACCAAAGGGTTTTTGTCTGACTCTGATCGTCACTGTTTAATCAGCCCGTCTACAAGGCTCATCTGCCAAACACCAACGCATCAACGTCATTGATGGCAAAAGAGCTATTTTAGATTCACAGAGTTTATAATCTAAGCAATACGGTTATTTCTCTCATGTGCGACGTGATGTCACAGGGTTTTGATGTCATTTTTGGGCCTGAGCCCTCCATGCAGGCTTTGGTCGGCGTCACTGTTCGATCTCTGGCTTACCCCTTGGTTAGAAATTGTGGCCGACTTTCACCGGCCATTGCAAAATGTCACCGTGTCACATGACATTAAAACTTTGCGGGAGCAAGGCAGCTTCAGGCGACGAGTCCGGCGGCCGCAGTTGGTTTTCTCTGGCTGCACAAAGTTGGAACCACCGTTTCTCTGATCTCGCAGCATTTGTCTTTGCAAATTCCGCAAGATCAGTGATTGTTCTAAAACGTGCTACATCGTGTGTAGTTACTGTCATGCTTCTTGGTGTTGATTAAAGAAGATTATTGAAGAAGAACTTGTAGCCGCTTATTACCCTCAGGCCCGAAGGACGATCCCAATCCAGAAACCACTGTTACACTATGTTAACTTGGTCACAGTAAATTACAACGATGGTCGGAATAAAGTTACAGACACATGTTTTCTGAACTCACCAGGTAGTTCAACCTCCTCGCTTTCTCTTCTCCAAGTAATATCCAGTTTTGTACGGTTTTATATAAATATAAAGTCATAGTCTGACAGAGTTAACGACGCTAACAACAACACTGGAACCGGATGTGCACGGAAGCTAGCTGCTGAGAAGCTCCAGTGAAGATAAATCAATGTTGAAATCCCAAAAACTAAAGTAAAAAGCTGATTTAATGAAAGCAGCTAACTCCGAGCTCCTCCTGCGAGTAAACAGTGTAGTTGTCAGAGCCGAATCCGACCGACTACGGGTGTTTATTTGTTCAAAGGTTGCAGCGCTGCTCCCTGCTCCTCTCCCCCAAATTTAGCAACTCTCAGCCGGCCAGCAGATTTTCAATCCCCCGCTCTGCCTGGTCCTCTCCACACAACGCTCTGAAGCCTCGGTGACGTACGGACAATCTCAACACTGATAGGCTATCGCGACTCAGCGTCATGCGAATTCTTCGCCTGAGTTGAAAATATTCAACTCAATCGAATTCCTTCGCGTCGCCGGCCCCACCCCCTTCGCGTCACTTTGCGCCGCTCAACAGAAAATTGCGGCTCTACACGTCTTTGCATTGACTTTGTCTGTAAACTCACTGCCCCGAACGCTCACTTCGTTTTTGTGGTCTGAAAGCACCATTAGTGGTTGTTCCACCTCACTTTAAAAAAAACTTCTCCTCACTTCAAAATTTAGATTAATTCATTTAACACACTCAAAAGTTCCAAACATTGCTCTAAATTAACTTGAAATGAAATTTTCTATTCATGCCATAAAATGTGTTCAAAAAGTGGTGGAAAGACTGAATCTCAACATTTAGGCTACTGAAAACTCGCCTCATACCTGCACCCACATCACAAAAGGTGTGGCAGTAGGATGAAAAGTCTCTGTGGCTTTAACCGAACTACTAACCTAAAATAAATAGCCTACATTCATATTAAAATGATTTAAATTTCCCTACCAAACTGCTCATAAAATAATATTCATCTCTAGCCCGAAGTGAACTGTTGTTGTGGTACTGAAAACCCAGGGTTAACCTCAAAGTTACCTCGATAAGCTCAAATCCTGCTTCGTGGTACAGGCCCCTGGTGACAGCAAGGGAATAAAAACATCAGCATTGTGCATCGTGTCAGCTGCAAAAGATAAACCAAACAGGGACCCACTGTCCTAATTCCTCCTCTCTTCTCCTCAGGTGCTGTCTCCTCGCCCATCATACAGGTTGTCTCAGATAACAGCAGCAGTGTGGTGTTACAGTGTGACTCTGAAGGCTGGTATCCAGAGCCTGAGGTGTTTTGGCTGGACGGTGAGGGAAACCTCCTCTCTGCTGGACCTACAGAGACAGTCAGAGGTCCTGATGACCTCTATACTGTCAGCAGCAGAGTGACTGTGGAGAAGAGACACAGCAACAACTTCACCTGTAGAGTCCAACAGAAGGACGTCAACCAGACCAGAGAGACTCACATCCAGGTTACAGGTTAGAAAGAGTTCTGTAGAAATTGTACATAATGTCACTGATTTAAACATTTGAAGTCTAGTGTGATTGAAAATGCGTCATGCTGTTCTATGTTGTATCATTTCAGCTGGTTTCTTCAGGGATCAGTCCTCTTCTGATTGGATTTTGATCATCAACATTCTTCTTTGCATTGCTGCCTCGGTGTTCATTTTATTAACATTTTACATTTACAGTAAGTCACATTTCCCTTTTGTATTTCTGTCAGAGATCGTGATTTCATATTTAAACATACTTTCGATATGATGTAGGCAAAATGGAAAAACAGAATAGTAAATATAAAATGTGGTGCAGAGGTAGCACTCGTCCAACACCACAGAGTGCTGGATACCTTATATCCTGCTTTAGGTTTGTTCAGTAAAATTCCCACCTGTATGTCTTTGTCAGCCTGTTACAGAGGAGGGGGGGGAGAACAAGAACATCCACCATAATATGGGGCCTAAGAAGAAGAAAATAAAGAAGTGGCACTTGTCTCAGATGCTTTGTTCCTCATGTTGGAATGAAAACAAAATGCCTTTTCTCCTGTCATTTTGATGTAAAAATATTTTCAGCTCAACCATCATATTTCTGTTCTGCTGCTTTAGTTCCTCCTTTTCACAAGTTTTCTGTTTTAAGGTAAAACTACATGAACACAGAACGTTTTAACAGATTTATTCTTCTGTCGGCACACAGGGACCAGGAGGAACAAGAAAACTGACAAAAACAATATGGCAGACTGTCCAGAGTTATCCAGATTGACTGGGGAAAAGAAACTCGAGAACCAAAGAGCGACAGGTGACTAGAAGAGAGAGTGCAGACCAACAGAGAGACCTTCCTCCACCCTGTTCACCTCCAGTTCATCAGATCCAGGAAGAGGTCGAGCCCATTAAAAGTCCACTCCTCTCACATCCAGATCATCAAAATGTTAAAATGTAGAAGAGGAGCTGCAGAGGACGCTTCAGTCAGTGAAGACAATGGACAGAAATAAGATGCCCTCATGATACAGCAGGAAGAACTGTGGAGATGAAACCTGAACTTCAGGAAGAACAACACAGAGACAGCTGACAGTTTATAACACAATGCACGCTATAAAAGAAGTTTTTCATACAATGTGACTTTAAAACAGAGGGTTAGGGTTAGGGTGGGTGTCTCTGGGGTCTCTGGGTGTGGGGATGTGAGTGTAAGAGCATCGCGAGACGGGTGAGATCCAGGATGGCGGCGCCCTGCTGCTAGATGAATCAACTCAATCTAAACTCTTTTTTTAACGGTAAAAAAAATTAAACTGTGGATTATACCATCGAAACTCTGGAGCACACTGAAAACTTCATCGACGACTACTTTTTCAGACTGTGCGGGTCAGTGTACTTGAGAAAGAGAAACAGTTTTTGAAGAGTCGAGGTAAGGAGCAAACTACAGCATGAACGGGAGATTAAGGATAGAAGAAAGAAATTACTACCAATCTCGAGACAATGCCGTGAAAAGGGAAGGAGAGCCGCACTGACTGTAGACATAACTACAACTATATATCAACGGTAAACTCTACCGCGACAGCAACATCACCACCTGGCTATAAACAAAATGTAATGGATTCATGTCATGTGTCTAATTGTCTCATGTCAATTCTAAATGGACAAACAAATAAAAGTGAAGTCTATTACATGTTTGTCGGTGTATCTGTGTTTCTCCTATCTACCTCATCTACACATTTACCTCCCTTCATCTATCTCTCTTTGCCTGTCCACTTACCTACATATTTGTCTGTTTCATCTGTGTGTCAACATCATGTCATGTATGTACATATACTGTTGAATATTTCTGAGATTGGTTGATTGGTTCTTTTTCCATATTTATACACTTTGTTGGTTTACAATATGTTATAATTACTTGGAAGTGTTTGTAGTGTAGCCACTGGAAGAATGACTGTGGTCTCACAGGGTAAAGGTGTTGACCGCTGCTGTTATTCTTTTAGTGTAAAGTTTAACTACTGAGTGTTTAATGAGTTTGTACCAACTCATATTTTATTCTTATACTCTGTGTGTTTATGAACATGTGCCTTTTCAATGTGCCAACATGAGCAGAACAGCTGCTCAGGCCGCGCAGGCAAAACCTAGCCAACCGTAACCTACACAATGGAAGCAAGGCACCTGCTGTAAGTCACGCACGCCAGGCCTGAGATCATGGCGAACTGAGGCCAAGAAGGAGATCATGACACATTGTGATTTATGGCGCCTGGTACTGCATGAAACCAAGCTTTGCACTGCCGAAACTAAACTTGTATGAGACACAGCACTCTCATGGTTGGCATTGTTGAATCACGTATTTATTCATTGAATCATGTTATGCATGTATTAAATGTTATTCCTTATTAATTCTTTTAAAAAATACAATTGTAAGTGTTTGAGTTTTAATGGTGTCAAACTATGGCTGTATAACTTTTTAAAAAAATACGGTGAGACTGAAGTTGAAACATATTGGTGAATTTCTAATCCAGTAATGTCAAAAATATAAAGAAAGATAAATGGTAACAATAATTACATGTAATAATAGCTAAAAAGTGGAAATTGTAACATTAATGAAAGGGTTAATTTGGTAAAACACTATGAGGAAAAAGGCCACTAGATGGCAGCTCTTTTGCACCGACTCTTGACCGTCTCCAGTGAAGTTTTTGACCACGCAGTTTTTGACCAAAGAAGAGATCTAATAGAGTAATTTTATTGAGTTTATTACATTGGTTAGGGTAAGGACCAGGTCTTCCACTGGCCTGGCCAGTCCTTATTTTCGACCCGACAATACACTGCTCAAAAAGATAAAGGGATCACTTAAACACAATGTAACTCCAAGTCAATCACACTCTTGTGAAATCAAACTGTCCACTTAGGAAGCAACACTGACTGACAATCAATTTCACATGGTGGAAATTATAGGCAATAAGCAAGACACCCCTAATAAAGGAGTGGCTCTGCAGGTGGTGACCACAGACCACTTCTCAGCTCCTATGCTTCCTGGCTAATGTTTTGGTCACTTTTGAATGCCGGCGGTGCTTTCACTCTAGTGGCAGCATGAGACGGAGTCTACAACCCACACAAGTGGCTCAGGTAGTTCATCCAGGATGGCACATCAATGCGAGCTGTGGCAAGAAGGTTTGCTGTGTCTGTCAGCGTAGTGTCCAGAGCATGGAGGCGCTACCAGGAGACAGGCCAGTACATCAGGAGACGTGGAGGAGGCCGTAGGAGGGCAACAACCCAGCAGCAGGACCGCTACCTCCGCCTTTGTGCAAGGAGGAGCAGGAGCAGCACTGCCAGAGCCCTGCAGAATGACCTCCAGCAGGCCACAAATGTGCATGTGTCTGCTCAAACGGTCAGAAACAGACTCCATGAGGCTGGTATGAGGGCCCGACGTCCACAGGTGGGGGTTGTGCTTACAGTCCAACACATTTGGTATTTGCCAGAGAACACCAAGATTGGCAAATTTGCCCTGTGCTCTTCACAGATGAAAGCAGGTTCACAATGAGCACATGTGACAGACGTGACAGAGTCTGGAGACGCCGTGGAGAATGTTCTGCTGCCTGAAACATCTTTCAGCATGACCGGTTTGGCTGTGGGTCAGTAATGGTGTGGGGTGGCATTTCTTTGGGGGGCCACTCAGCCCTCCGTGTGCTCGTCAGGTAGCCTGACTGCCATTAGGTACCGAGATGAGATCCTCAGACCCCTTGTGAGACCATATGCTGGTGCGGTTGGCCCTGGGTTCCTCCTAATGCAACACAATGCTAGACCTCATGTGGCTGGAGTGTGTCAGCAGTTCCTGCAAGAGGAAGGCATTGATGCTATGGACTGGCCCGCCCGTTCCCCAGACCTGAATCCAATTGAGCACATCTGGGACATCATGTCTCGCATCATCCACCAACGCCACGTTGCACCACAGACTGTCCAGGAGTTGGCGGATGCTTTAGTCCAGGTCTGGGAGGAGATCCCTCAGGAGACCATGCCCAGGTGTTGTAGGGAGATCATACAGGCACGTGGAGGCCACACACACAATACTGAGCCTCATTTTGACTTGTTTTAAGGACATTACATCAAAGTCTCGGCCTGTAGTGTGGTTTTCCACTTTGATTTTGAGTGAGTCCAAATCCAGACCTCCATGGGTTTGATTTACATTGATCATTTTTGTGTGATTTTGTTGTCAGCACATTCAACTATGTAAAGAAAGGAGTAGATTATTTCATTCATTCAGATCTAAGATGTCTTTATTTTTTTGAGCAGTGTATTTCTCATTTTTATTTTCTTCTTCTATAGTTCAGTGTTTAATAAATTCTCTATAAAGTGTATATTTCTTTTTACAGGCATTTTGTAATCCTTTTGAAATCACTATTTTTGTTTTCTGCAAAAACAAAGGTGTTCCCTTTATTATTATTTTTGAGCAGTTTGTTTATCAGATGACTTACATGAAGTAAAGACGATCTTGTAAGTGACTTTTTTCTGAGGTCCTTTTAAACTCTGCTTTCTAACAATGGAGTCTACCTCTGGTCTCTGGATGTGAGGGTGAATTTACAGCTAAAAAGCTTCCATATGCTCCTCTGCAGGGACTTATAAGTCTGCTTCATTCCTCAGAGTAAACATCATGTGTACCCCGAGAGAAGAGGATTGACAATCGTTAAAGTAGCTAAGGACATGAAGCTTAGTCAATGATCAATGCATCTGGTCATAACAACCAAATAGATATTCTGCAGTGAACCACTTCAATTCAATCCATTAATTACAAATTGGTTTAAATTTGCTTTGTAATTCATGCAGTTTGATAACAACTGAATGTCACTCATTTATCCTCTGAGTCTGTTAAATGGAGTCTGAAGTGCTCAGTAGTGCACAACCAGAGAAACGAGACGAAATAGAGGGATTACTGGCATCATTTCCCTCTGAGAGAGTGATTATCTTGTCTTCAGAAACGATAGATTACAATCGATCCATTATTACACGGTTGAGTTGGTTTGTGTGTCTGCAATTTAGGAAATCGATTGGCTTCATTCATTTTCATGGGATTTGTTGATTGGAAGAAAAATATATCATTCGACTAATCCTCATGATTTATCTAAACTTTAAGTAGATGATCTCGGTTCTTCCACCACCTGAATGTGGCCTTCGTTCATTCATCTTTAACGTCTTATTAATGTTAATTGGTTCTTATAAAATGCTTATTGTTGAACTACAAGAGTCAGCCAGGTGTACATCAGCTTGATGTGATGTGCTTTACATGTTTTACAGGTTATGGAAAAGAAATACATATATTAGAAAAGATATTCTAAAATACATACTGAGAACTTTTTGTACTCTAAATACATTTTAATGCTGATACTTTTGTACTTTACTAACTTATTTGTTCTCTCTGGTATTGCTACTTTTACTTCAGTAAAATATGTGAGTAATCCCTCCACCCCTATTTACAGTATACTGCATCAGTGAAGAGAGCTCTCTATCTGTGGCTCCCTCTGGTGGTCAAACTGCTGAACTGCACCGGTCTGAGGCTTCAGTCCAAGTTCAGTGTCCAGTGCTCAACGTGCTCCTTTAGTCTCCTGCGCTTTAACAGACGTTATTGTAGCTTGTGTGTTTGTAAATATCATATCACTATTTAGTGTCTTTGAATAATATGGTGAATGTAGAGATTATAAATCCCCTGATCCTGACGCCTGTTTGTCATGATGATTACTGTGAATGTAAACTGAAGCTTACCTGGATAAGTCATCCTAAAAGGACCCTGGAAGTCCCTGAGCATCTGTCTAGTGGAGTAACCCGAAGAGCTTACCTTGAGGAGCCCTGGGAATCCTCGAACACTGCTCATGGAGGTTTGTTGCAACTTACGTCCTATCACCTGGAAAACCCTGAATCATCATGGAAACACCTGGAGCATCATCATCCAGCCTTGGAAGTTTCTCTACAAGAACCTCTGTATGTATGTGACCCCAAGAAGTCTGTGCAACTCCAGGACCCCTGGAATAGTCTGGAACCTGTCCTGTGATGCTTAAAAGACTCCTTTCAAGTTTCCTTTTTTTCATTTTGGTAACAGTTGTTTAGCTAATAGTTTAACTTATTTCACTTTGTCACTATTGCCAGTTTCATATATCAGAGTATCTAAACTTTAATTCAGTGGGTTTTTTTCTCTTTACTTGTGTTTTGTCTATATTGTTTCTTGTGACATTCCCTGCAGCTCTGTAAACTTTGTTTTTTGTTTTTCATTCATCGATACGGTCACGTTCTGGCAGCCATGTTGCTTTGAAAGACATTTAATTCAACGTTAAGTTAAAACAAAAACCACCACAGGGGGCAGTCTGTAGGCACAGCAGTTTTGAGATTCTGATACTGAACAAAACAGTTTAAAAACTCTGAACTGACACCAAATATCTACATTCTGGCGTCTTTATGAACTCTGACTCCTGTCCTGGTGAAAATAATCAAATCATTCATTGTTTACTGGCCAGATCAGCCTGCGTGTGGAAACGTGTCAAAGTAGGAGTTTGTTCTCTAAGTCTTCAAACATCACAACATATAAATACTGCCCCATTTTCAGTATTAAATGTGGTTATCTTTAATATTGGCAGCTTACCTTTAAATATTAGTACTTTATTTTTTTTAAAAAGAAGTCACATTTAAAAAAACCTTAATGATA